TCTGGGGGCGGGGCGGGGCTTGGGGGCCAGGCTAGAGCAGCCAGCAGGCAGGGGAAACCGTAGTGGAGTTAACAGGGCTGCAGGCCACACCGGGAGCCCTGAGCCCACAGCCTCTTGGCCACAGGCTGGAGCTGCCCCCAGAGGAAGGCTCCCCATACAGCCCTGAGTTCTCCAGTGGCTGGGAGCCGCCGGCCACTGACCCACAGGGCCGTGCCTGGGAGGACCCGGTAGACAAACAGCTGCAGCATGAGCGGCGGCGCCATCAGGTGAGCAACCGACCCCCCCCCCGCCCCTGCCCAGATGACACAACTGTCGCCTGCCTCTGCCCCTGCCTGAGCTGCTGCTCTCCTCTCTCCCACAGCAAAGTGCCCCCCAGGTCGCTGTCAATGGGTGAGTGTCGCCCCAAGGTGGGACAGGTGGGGTCAAGGTGGGGTGCGTCCTGGGGGTTCCTGGTGCTGACTCCACTCCTTTTATCCGTCTTTCCTTCTGTCTTCCCGGCTCATCACAGGTGGGTGAGATGGTGATGAGGGAGAGGGGCCGGGGCTGGGAGGGAGGGAGATGGGAGGGAGGGGGCCCAGACTTGTAGGTCCAAGGGAGGAGGCCCCGATTCCAGGGCCTGAGGGAGGAGGGGTTGGGAGTGGGTAAAGGTGGGGAGGCTGGGAGAAGGCAGTGTGACTTCCCAGGGCGGGGGAGCTCCCTGTCTGGGTCCTTCACTAAAAGGATAGAGCCCCAGGTGGTGGAGGAAGAGACTGGGGAACTGGGCATTTGGGGTTTGAAGAAGGGCTTGAGGCTGGTGATTGGGACCTTGGAGACCCAGAGAAGGCCTGGGCCTTCAAGGGCAATAGGGCATGTTTCCGGGAAACTTGGGAAGTGGTAGTACTTCTGGGCTCCTAAAAGAGGTAAAGACTGAGAGGCTGGACCTCCCTTTCCCAAGGCTCTAAAGCAATTGTCTCAGTTCCTGCTGAGTGTTATACTGAGAGCCTTTACGGGTTAAAAAGTTGGGGAAGTTAAAGTTTGAGACCTGGACTCCTTAGTCTCTGGGAGAGAAAAGGGCTGGGGGTCTGAGTTCAGGATTCCAAAAAACAATGTGGGCACAGACTTGGGTCCTGGGGAAGATGGGGCATAGAGGAGCCAGGACTCTAGGGTCCTTGTGCAAGTCGCGGGCAGATGTGAGGAAGCGCTGTGGGATAAAACAAAGCCGCAAAACTGGAGGAGCACAGGGGGGTCTGGCCAAGGGCCCCGGCCCAGGGCCTCAGCAGGGACAGCGTGCTGGGAGCTGCCAGCCCCACACAGGGGGCGCCGCGGCCCTGAAGACCCCCCCTCTCCTTTGCACAGGTAGGCCTGATCCGGGCTGGGGTCCGTCTTCCTGGGGGCTCAGAGCACAAATCTTGCTCCCTTCCACCCCAGCCGCCTGGGCTTGCAGAACCTCCCCTCCCCTCCCCTCCCCTCCCCGATCTTGGTCTTGACACCTCCAGCTTTTACGTTCCTTCTCCGTGCCTCCCTTCTCTGCAGAGAAAACGAGAGTAACCCTTCCGGGAAGAGTTAGAAGTGTATAAGCTTATACAGGCTAGCAGCTAGCAGATCAAGGGCAGGGTAGAGCGCAGGTTCACATCCAGCTGCATGCACCGCAGACCTGCGTTACTCAAGGCACGGACTGCCGGGTCAGCCTGCCTGGATGTCAGTGTGGCAGTGCCTCTTTCTTGCTCTGTGACCTTTATATCATCATGCCACTTTATATCCCTGTTCTTCAACTTCTTCGCCTGTAAATTAGATGATAATCGAGTCTGCAGTGGGGGAGGAAAGGCATTCCAAATTCATGGTTATACCGAGGGCTGTGTTCAAAATCAGATTAGCCAGTCTATGTGACAGACTTTTAGCAGTGTTTGACACCTTGTAAGTGCCATATAAACTGTAAGTTAGCCAATGTTTGTATTAGAACTATGGGCTATCGTGGGGCGCCTGGGTGGCTTAGTCGGTTGAGCGTCCGACTTTCGCTTGGGTCATGATCTCGCGGTTCGTGGGTTCGAGCCCCGCGTCGGGCTCTGTGCTGACTGCCAGCTCAGAGCCTGGAGCCTGTTTCAGTCTGTGACTCCCTCTCTCTCTGAGACCCTCCCCTGCTCACGCTGTCTCTCTCTCTCTCCTAGAAATAAAAAATATTTAAAAAAAAAAAAGAACTATGGGCTATCGTAAGCATGAGCCCATTACATAGTAGATGCTTAATAAACAGCAACTGAGCTGCCTCTAGCTGTGTGATGGGGAAGCGATTTTCTGAGACTTAAATACCCTCATCTGTAAAAGGGAGGTGATGTCAGTGGCTAGTCTGTGCTGACAGCTCGGTGGCCAGGTACATAAGGAGCAAAATGCATTCAGGTTGTACTCCAACTTCAAATCTCTATTAACAGCATTAATCTGGCCCCCGCGTGACCCGCTGTGTGACCCCTGCTTGGCTCTAACCCAGCTCACACAATTCCCTACTGCCCAGAGCAGGGAGACTGGCTGCCTTCTTATCCCCAACCCGTGTTTGTCTCCACAGTCACCAAGACCCGGAACCAGAGGCTGAGCCCCAGCTGGAGCCCGAGGGGAAGTGGGTCCTTTGTAACTATGACTTCCAGGCCCGCAACAGCAGTGAGCTATCGGTGCAGCAGCAGGACGTGCTGGAGGTTAGAGGGGTGGGGGCCGCAGGGGGCCCAGCTGTAGCGGCAACACAGGCTGTGAGCCCTCCTCTCCTAACCCCCCTCAGGTCCTGGATGACCGGCGTAAGTGGTGGAAGGTTCGGGACCAGCGAGGCCAGGAGGGATACGTGCCCTATAATATCCTGACCCCCCACCGGGGGCCTCAGGCAAGCCGCAGCCTGGTGAGCCTGGGCCGACGCCAAGGTTTTGAGGGAAGGAGGCATGTGACGATCAAGTGCCAAGGGCCCTGGCAGAGGAGGTGGAAGGTGGGGTGCAGAAATTTACCTCCAGAAGGCGGGGGGTGGGGGCTGGGAACCCAGTCCTCTGACCCTAGCGCTCCTCCGGCCCCCCCCCCCAGGAGGACAGCACTCCCCCTCCCCTACCGGCCCCAGCTCCTGCCTCCCCTCGGCCCCCCTGGGACAGCTGCGATAGCCTCAACTTGGACCCTGTAGAGAAAGGTGAGTGGTGGCGGCACCCGCTCCGCCTGGTCTTCGCTTTCCAGTCAGGGGCACCAAGGTTCTGGCCAAATGGACCCCCAGCCCCTCGTGAGGACGCTGGAGTCTCCCTTCGGGCCCCAGGGCCCTTGGTCCTGAGTCCGCCCTCCCTCCCGCTTTCCCCGCCTGCAGAGAAATTCTCCCAGATGCTGTGTGTCAACGAGGAGCTGCAGGCGCGCCTGGCCCAGGGCCGCTCGGGCCCCAGCCGCCCCGCCCCGGGTCCCCGCGCCCAGGAGCCGCAGCTCAGCCCGCACTCGGACGCCTCGGAGGTCCGCGCCTGGCTGCAGGCCAAGGGGTTTAGCGCTGGGTGAGTGGCTGGTGCCGGCGGGGACCGGAGGAGGCGTGGGCGCCAGAGGGGGAGCCTTGGACTGGCCTAAGCGAGGGTCAGTGTGGGCAGTGAACGGCACCCTCGCCTCCGTGGGAAGCAGACACCCGAGCCCATCCACCCTCGCGTGCACTGCGATGGGGGTGGGCCTGGCGCCTTCGGCTGTGCGGGTCCGGCTGGACAAACGGCGGGGCAGCAGGGCCGGGGTTGGTGGGCCTGACCGTGCCCCCTCTGCCGCCCAGGACCGTGGCCGCGCTGGGTGTGCTGACTGGGGCGCAGCTCTTCTCCCTGCAAAAGGAGGAGCTGCGGGCCGTGAGCCCCGAGGAGGGGGCCCGCGTGTACAGCCAGGTCACCGTGCAGCGGGCGCTGCTGGAGGTGAGCCGGGCGCGGCCGGAGGGCACCCGGGCTCCCAGGCCAGCGGTCTGACTTCCACCCCGCTCTCCAGGACAGAGAGAAAGTGTCAGAGTTGGAGGCGGTGATGGAGAAGCAAAAGAAGAAGGTGGAAGGCGACGTGCAAACGGAGGTTATCTGACGCGACCCGGCTCCTCTGCCCCGTGTTGCGAGAAGCCCCGTGGGAGAAGGGGCTCTGCGGACTGCGCCCACCGGTGGAAGCAGAGCCCTCCCGAAGGCTCCACACCTGTACGGTGGAGTCTCCTGAGTGAGCGGACTGGCCGTGAGTGGGAGGGAAGGGCCACACTCGGGCCCTGGCACACTGTGATCCGCCGCCCAGTCTATAAACAGCCTCCTTTTAGCACGTCTTGTCGAGCTGCTGTCCCTTCTCTACCGCGCCACCAGGGGGCCCAGGAACTAGCCTCGCCCCAGCTACAGCGCCCGAGGAAAAGTAATCCACATGTCCCCACCTTTTTTGGTTTCTTTCACTGAACCTTCCTCCCCTTCCCCACCCACCCCGCGTCTGCACCCAGACAGGCTTCCTCCTCACCTCTCAGCCACCAGTCTGTCCGCTAGTCCCCCCCAGCTCTGACGTCCCTTGCACAAACTCCCTTCCTGACTTCACGGCCCTCTCAGCCCCAGAGCCCAGCATCTGAGGTCTGGTCCTGCCCTCCCCCAAATGCCCCCAGCCTCCCTCAAACACTGGGCTCCTGCACTTGCTTTCTGCGGGCTGGAAGTGACTTTCCGCGGGTGAACATCCTTCCTGGCCCAGCTCCAGTCCCCACCTCAGGGAAGGCTGCCCCATCCCCAGCGTCCACTTCACTCTGCCCACCACCAGGTGCCAGGGGCTCAGCCACAACGTGACTGCCTTCTGCACGTGCCACAAGCGTCCTGGTCACTCTTCTCCTCGGAGAGGACCTCCTCTTCCCCCACCGCTCGCCGAATCTCCCTGGGGCTCACCAGCTCTGCCCCCCTTTCCTTCCTGCCGAGATCACTTAGGGCAGCAGCCCCATACGCTGCCCTCCCCCAGGCTGCTGTCAACGCAGCAAAGGGGCCTGTTAAAACCTAGGTCCCAGCTCCAGTCCTGCCCAGGGCTGGCCGTCACCTCTCCAGCCTCCTCCCTACACGTGCACCCTACAGACTTTGCACCTGCTGCCCTCCTCATCCAGAAAACTCTTCCTGTAAACACCTACATGGCTCACTCCTTGGCACCTTCAGGTATGTGCCTGTGCCAGCTTTTCGGGGGAGCCTGCACGGAAGACACCCGAGTGCGTACACCCCTCCCACCCCCCCACCTGAAACACTTCTCGCTGGCTGCGCCATGCCTCCCCTCCTCCACCGCAGCCGCTCTTACCACTTCCTTCACCACTGTTCCCACCACTGCCAGGACGGGGCCTGGAAGGGAGACTGACCAGGAATGCAGGACACAATGCCCCGCCCTCCTCATCAGCCCCTGCACGACTTTTTCCAGAAGAGTCAAAATCGTACTTCTTTTTCCTCCTGAATTATCCCAAAATTTTAATGTTGGCAACTGACTCGAATCTGTTTTTAAAACCCTGCAGGTAAGACCCACGCTGCTACAACCCCTGGCATCTGACCCCACTGCCCCTCCCTGGCCTTGTGCCCAGGCCCCAGCTGGCCCTTCTTCCTGAAACCCCTTCCCCCCCCCCCCCCCCCCCCCCCCCCCCGGTGAGCACTCACCTACCCACCACTTAGGATCCTGGGGCTGGGCCACGGCCAGGGGAGGGACACGGTCACTGAGTGGCAACTTCACGACTTTTATTTGTGGTGCCTGTGCTTTGTCTCGAAAATACCTTCTCCCCCTGCCCCTGACAGTGGGCGGGGAGGGGGCAGCAAAAAATAGAGCCCTCCCTCCCTATTGCACACGGGCCCTATGTACAGGCCCACCTGGCCCAGGCTGGCGGGACTCTTGGCACATTCTCGGATCCCTGCTCAGAAACGGGAGGGGTGACTGGGGTGACATCACACGTGAGGGGGGACCTCCGGGTGGCCACTCTGGTCCTGGCACTTTCTGGTCCACGGTTCCTCCCTGGTCCCACCTCTGTCCCGGGCGCCCCGCACCACCACCCCCCTACCTGGCCACGGTGGGGGGGGGGGGGCAGCTCCTGGGGACTCTGTGCTCCCCTCCCAGGCTGGAGGCCCCGAAGGGAGGCTATGGCTTCTCAGAGACCCCCTGGGGGCCCTGTCACTCGTGCTCACACAGGGGAAGGGGTGCAGGGGGCAGAAGCAGCTGTATGAATACGGGTACGGGGGAAGGCCCTCCTCCAGAGTCACTTAGAAAGTTTGCTGATGACGCGAATCAGGGCTGCGTTCTCATCCTTGAGCCTCTGGTTGTCAGCCCGGAGGTCGGACAGGGCCTGGGCGGGGGGATGGGAAGGTCAGCTGGGGCCCTGGACGAGCAGAGCCTGCCCCCAGCACCCCCTTACCCTCACCTTCAGCTCCTCCTCCAGCTCCGCCGCCTTCGTCTCCAGGGCCCTGCGCTCCTGGAATAAATGGGAGAAGTGAGGCCTGGGGGGCTGAGCGAGGGGGGGGGGACAGGTCAGAGAACCCTCTTCAGCCCCCCGTGGCTGTGTGAGGCTGGGGACACGTGCGGCCCCACCCCAGCTGCCCCTACTCACGAATCTCTCCAGCTCTAGAAGCGCGGGCCTCTCTGCAAAGCGCTCCTGTCTCTGGTGACAAGAGAGCACAAAGTGCAGATCACTGTCCAAGCCACAAGAACGGGGACCCAGCCTCCCAGCTGGCCCTGCGCCTGAACAGGCACATCGGGGCCCCCACGGACCACCCCCGGGGCGCAGCAGCTCACCTGCGTGGCGCGCTCCAGCTCCACTTTGAGCTGCGCCAGTCGGAGCGTGGTCTCGGTCAGGGCCTCGCGGAGCCGCTCGTTCTCAGTGCGCAGCTCTGCGTACAGCTGGGGAGGGAGGAAGGGGAGACGGGTCAGGCCTGGCCGCCCAGCGCGGGGCTCGGCAGGCACAACGCAGAGAGAGGGCTGTAGGGCAGGTGGACAGGGGCCGACCCGTGGGGGCGGATCGATGGTGGATGGTGGGGTGGGTAGGGTCGCGAACCTTCCTGAAGCCTCCATCGGGCTCGTCAGATTCTGGCTGGGGGTCGCGCTGCCGCTGCCTGTGAGGTAAGGGGCCGCCCTCGGAAGTGCTGGGGGTGAGGAGGGCGGGTGTCAGCCGGGCTCCCCATGGCCGTGCAGAAGAGCCCATGCCCTTCCCTGCCCACCCTGTACCTGGACTCTGGGCTGCGGTCGGCCGGCTCCGCCTCCTCCCCCTGCGGGCGGAGGTGGGGTTCAGCCTGAGGCCTGAGGCCGGGAGGGGAGTCTGACCCACCACCCTGCCTCCTCAGCCCACCCCTAGCCCAGCTTGCCCCACCCCTCACCTCCGCAGGCCCCCTCCACTCTTTGCCGACTTTGCGGTGCTCCCTGGCGGCCTGTGGTCCCTGACCCTGCCCGTCAGGCGCCTCTGCTGGGGGGGAGGGGCAGGAATCAGCCCAGAAACCTGGGGAGCGGCCCCTCAAGTCAGGCCCTACACCTGACCCTGAGAAAACAGACTGCAGTGGGAGAGAGGGGAGGCCAGAGGTCAGAAGGATGACCTCCCAGAGACCAAACCTCACCTCTCAGGGCAGGGCCATCGGAATTCTCCACCCCGGGCACTCGTGGCCTCCTAGAGGGGTCCTGTGGGGGAAGGGAGGTCAGAGGGCAAGGGTATCTGGGACCACCCACCACCCGGTCACGTGACCCCTCTCACCAGGCATGATTTCTCTGGTTCCGGGGCCTTCCCTGCTGCTTTCTCTGCTTCCTTCAGGTCGGTCAGAGTCACACCCTGGCAGAGGGGTCCCAGAGGTCATGGCCCAGACCCCTCAGGACTTGAGTCCTGACTCCCAGCCACTCCTCCCTCGGACACAGGGGTCCAGGCCCCCAGCCCCTCCTCCCTCAGACCCGGGAGTCCTGGCCCCCAGCCCCTCCTCCCTCAGACCCAGGGGTCCAGGCCCCCAGCCCACCCCCACACCTGTGTGGACCTCCGAGACTGACGCATGAGCCGAGAGCGAGCTTTCCGCTGAGATTCTGACTCCTCATCCCGCACAGGCATCTGGTAGGACCTGAGTGAGAGATCCCAACCTCAGTGAGGGTTCCTGTGGGTCCTGTTCCCCTCCCACTGCTGATACCTTTCAGGGAAGGGAAGTTCTGCCAGAGGACTACATCTCCCAGCAGACCCTGGGACCCACTCCCCCTTGGGAGCACCTGCCTGAGGCCCTGGGGACTCCTGGGCAATGTAGTGTCTCCCTGCTGGGGAGACAGAGACCCCCCACCCCCTGCCTCTTCACCTCCGCCGGTCCCGGGAGTCGGCTGGGGGCACTGTGGAGGCTGCAGGGACATTTGGCTTCACTGGGGATACAGGCTCCGGAATCCTAGAAGGAGGAGTGGAGTTATCCAAGGGAGGACGCCTGGAGATCTCAGACCTGTGAAGCCATTCATCCAGCAAACATTGTTACTCAAGCTCCATAGCAGGTGCTGGAGATGCAACGATGAGCAAAAAAAAAGAACTGTCTCTGCCCCCGTGAGTCAAATATTTGTGACAAAGATGCAGACCCAACACCAAGCGTGAGAGGAGTCCAGCACAAAACAGGCCGGAAAGCTCCAGTCCTTCGGAGGAAAGAGCGAGCACGTGCACACACGGCTGCAGCACGGGCGGGTGGCCAGAGTGGGCCGCACACCCACAGACCCGAGGAAGGGAGCACGCAAGCCGGGGAGGGGTGTGTGCAGCACAGGCTCTGGGGCAGGAGTGTGGCCGCGTCAGAAGGGATGGAGGCGGCGGAGGGGACGGAGGCAACAGGAGGCCACCGGGCGCTTTTATCTGAGGCGCCTGGAGGAAAACTGCGGCGGGGGGGTGGGGGGGCAGAGAGCCCGGGGGCAAAAGGACTTGCTGAGCATGAAGCGGACAAGGCTGGGACCCGACCTGCTTACCCCCCCGCCCCCCGCAAGGCCCAGGCCCCTGGCTGGCACTCACAGGGCAGAGGGCTCCGGCACCTGCCGCGAGGGGGTGGGTGTGACTCTGGCGAGGCGGGGCTCCGTGGCCTGTGGGAAGAGAAGACCGGAGGAGGAGGAGGACATGCTCCTCAGTGAGGCCAGGCCTGCTCCCCCGCCCCTCACCCCACTCACCTGAAGGGAGGGCCCTTCCAGACGGGAGGAGGAGGCTGAGCGCTGCAGCCCAGCCCCAGGGCTGCCCTCGGCCCCCCGCCTGTCTGCGGGACCCAGGGCACCAGAGCTTCCTGTCTTCTGGAGGCCAAAGCGTCTGGGGAAGGGGGCCTCTTCCAGGGGCTGGAGAAGACAACGAC